ACTCTCGTGACAAAATAGTGTTAAATAATCTTTCACTCTCGTGACAAGGATATTTAAATTAGACTTGGAAATTAAAACCAAAACAGAATTTTAATCATAAATTTGCACCTATTATTTTCTACCGAGTCCATTGGCAACAACGGTCCTCATACACCGGACTCAAGAATATTTAGCCAGACATGTTACTAATTAAAAACGCATGAATTATTATAGTTATGATGAAAAAAGACCTAAAAATTAAATTTGACAAACAAAATAGTAATAATAATTAATGAGATAAAAAATAATAGCAATGATAATAATAATAATAATAATAATAATAAAGCGGTAAAATGAAGAACCTGTAAATGCAGAAAATGGAAACAAAGAACACTTGAATTGAAATAGCCGACAAACTTAGATCTGATACATAAATTGAAAGGTAGAAATAAATCCTAAAACTAATTTGGTAATAGTCCCCCGATGTGGAGAACTATTACTTTTACATTCTAAGAAAAAGCTATGAACATAAAATGGTGGAAAAATGGACGAGAGAGAGAGAGAGAGAGAGAGAGAGAGAGAGAGAGAGAGAGAGAGAGAGAGAGAGAGAGAGAGAGAGAGAGAGAGAGAGAGAGAGAGAGAGAGAGAGAGAGAGAGAGAGAGAGAGAGAGAGAGAGAGAGAGAGAGAGAGAGAGAGAGCCTCATTGTTGTGGTAACTGCTTTCTAATGTATACTCCTCTAATAACTTCTTTTGGTAGAGAAAATAGGAAGGCTTGGTGGGGTCATGTGTGGAGAAAAAGTAGGAGGAAATGGTTCAATTGTTGCAAATAAAGTTACTTGGTTGAAAAAGTCTTGTGACGAGGGGCCAGACATGTGACGTGGGGCACGCATGCATTAAGCATGCCGATCGTCAGGGGTAGGTGACGACCATCACCCTTTCCTTTTTTTGCTTCTGCCAACCGTCACGGTGGGTGTGACGAGCGTCACCTTGCACAAGTGGGCCACACGCTTCTTTCTTTGTCGGCCTTGGGTTCTTCATGGGCTTTTTCTTTTCTTTTATATTATATGCATTTTTACTTCACTTCTTCTCATTTTTAGTCCTTTTCTCGAGCAAGCTTTATAAACATTAAATTCCTGAAATATATTAAAATACCAGCATAATACCTACATAAAGCAACATAATTAAAATAAAATAGAGACATAATTAATGTTAATCAAGCCAAATATACTATACATTTTCGTGTTATCAGTAATGAGAATGTTGACCTCTCACTTTGATCATGTTATCGTATCCAAGAATCCAACAATCTTGAAACCACTAAAGTGGAAGATTTGGTTGGTTCGTTGGAGGCGCATGAGATGTGGATTGTCGAAAGGAAAGGAGTTTAGGACTCAATACAGGAACTGCAAGCTCAGTCATGGAAAAAGGATGGTGGTTCCAACAAATTCAAAGGCAAGTTCGACAAGACTCATGACAAGAAGTCTTGGTCGAATTCCCATAAGAATAAGGTCAAAGATAGATCTTATGAATCCTCAAAAAGGGGAGGAGGAAACTATCGAAAGGACAAAGAAGATAAGAAAGGTATTCAGTGTTATAACTGTGAAAAGTGGGGACACTTGGCCAATAATTGTTGGTACAAAAAAGACAAGGGATCGACATGCAAGGACGAAGGAGCGAACCTTGCACGCCAAGATTCAGATGATTCTGAAGGTGGTATGGTGGTTATTGCTACAGTTGCAGATAACAATGTCGAATCCAAGATCTGGTTTCTCGACTCAGACTGCTCGAACCAAATGGTTGGTCGAAAGGAGTGGTTGGCAGATTTTGACGAGTCGAAGAAGAGCAAGGTAAAATTTACTGATAATAGTTTGTTGCAAGCAGAAGGTACTGGCAACATAGTCTTTCAAATGAGTAATGGAGGGAAAGTTATGATAAAATATGTGCTCTATGTACCTGGAATGAAATGTAACTTGCTAAGTGTTGAACAACTAGTCGAAAAAGGTTTCTCAGTTGTCATGAAAGATGGAGTTTTGAAATTGTTCGACACCAAGAAAAATTTGGTCTTAAAATCTCCATTGTCGAAGAATAATACATTTAAGACTATGATCAGTTCGACAAAAGTTCAATGTTTGAAAACTATTGTAGACCACAAGAATAGTTGGTTGTGGCATTTAAGGTTTGGACATTTGAATTTTTGATCACTTAATCAACTGATTACTCAAGATATGGTTGAAACAACCGGCTGAACAATCAATTGATAATGAAATCAATGAAGTCACCATTGAACATTTTTTATCCCATATGAAAGGAAAGGTAAACATCGAGTAAACCTGAGAAGGGTGAAAATCAAGGTCGAACGACCAAGAGATACAAATAAGAGAGTCTGTTATGTGAGGGGAAGGTAGTAGCACCCCACAAGCCCGTAGTACTCTACGATATCCACTCTTGTTATTCTAATCAAAGGGTGTGTTTAATCTATGCTTATTGTTTACTACTAAGGAAGAATGCATGAAAAAAAGAAATAGAAAAGAATGTAGGGAAAATAAAAGTTATGCTCGTTCGAGCCCTACCCCAATTCCTACGTATCCCTTTTAAGGAATCAGAGCAGCCGTAGTTCGGCTTCAAATGTTTTTGTTGGTTTGTATTTTTTAATGAACAATATTAATTTCGCCTTCTGCCGCAACTCGACCTTTGGAGACTTACGCGTCAGCACAGAAGTGAATTAACATGTTCTTTTGAAAAAGTTTGAAAGAAAAGCCAGAAGGTAAAAGGAGTTTGCGTTGGTTGGTGTTTTTGCTGCAGATAACAGCTAGTTAATCTCAAGAGAGAGATATTAACCATTTCTCTACTTATTTATGAAATGAGTCTTTGAGACTTGAACCACACCAAGGCTTAGAATGGAAAAACAATAATATGGAGAAGAGACCCGCTTATCATTTCTCATGCTCAACAAAGGCACGATTCTCATCAATAATTTTTAAGTGTTTTGGAGTTTGCAAGAAAAAGAAGTTTTTTGTTTTAATGCAAATGCAAAAGGGGAAACAAAAATCTAAGGGGAGATTAACCTGAATCTATCCTTAATGTTATCATACAAAGGTGGTCATATGGTTGAGCTTTGAAGGGAAACCTCTACCTTAAGTTGACATGCTTAGATAAAAATCCTAATGTCTATCTCAAGTCATCATCTATAGATGAATCAAGAAGTCCTAAAGGATCATAGCAAGGGTCTATCACATAAAACTATGTCTATCTCGAATCATCATCTATAGTTGAATCGAGAGATCCCAAGGGAACATGCCGAGGGTATATCATCTCAAAACATGCACACAAAGACGAAATCAAAACAAGCAAGCCAATATGCTTAAGAGAGCTAGCTCAAGAGAGCACAACTAGAGAGATCCTAACTAGGATAGCATACAAAAGAAAGTCTAACAAAACTATCCTATCGGGAACATGAAATAAGAGTGAAGTCGTGATCTCAATTTCTAAATTGAGTGACTCATCGATCAATATGAAATCAAGGAAAGCGATAAAATCCTATGGGGAGCATGCACTGAGAGCAAAGTCGTGATCTCAATTCCTAAATTGAGTGACTCATCGATCAACAACTAAGGAAACAAACATAAGCATAACACATATAGCCAATGAAGTGTGAAATTCCTGCTACAGGTCTTTAAACAGCGACTTCGAGCGCACACTCTTTATTTCCTACTTCTCATGATATCTAGAAAGAAGTAAAGTGCAAAATGAGATAAACGAGAGAAAATACCAAACAGATATCAATCTGTAGCAAAAAGAAACCCGACGATCTTTACGAAAGCTTCACCAATCAAAGAAAAGAGTCAGAAATCGAATGCTTGGAATAAGTGTCAAAACATCATCAATGTGAAAATAAATCACAATCGAAATCTCAAACGCATCCGCACATCGCACAATAAACCCGCGTAAGACTTAAATATCAACAAGAAAAGGTGAATTACCAATCTCAATTATAATCGAATAATCTGGATTTAATTCCCTAAAACTAAAATAATAAAAAAAACATCCACAAGTTTTTATTGACTTTATTGTTTTTATCATGTAAAAAAGTTCAAGCAAATCTAAACAATTCACGAAATTATTCAAAAAGAAATATTGAAAGAGTAAACTCAGGGGTGTTATACTGAAGTCAGGGGTAGTGTTCAGAAAATTCCAAAAGCCCAATCATATAGAGTCCATAAGTTTTATTGAGTCAATTTCCACGGATACAAAAAAATTAGCATATGGGCCTAAGGAATCCCGTCCAGCTTACAAGCACCAAACCAGATTTCTATTATATTCAGCATTTTATTTTATTTTATTACCAACAATATATGGTATGTGAATCAAAAAGAAAAAATAAATAATAACAAATGCAAAACGAAAATAGAAAGAGGATTATGGTTCAAAACTCTATGACGGTTCAGTTCTCAACATAATTCTCTTCGTCTCCTCGAATTCTCAACCGCGGCGACCGAATCTTCTCTCCACTGCTCTTAATCTTCTCCGCGATTCCGTCTAATTTTGAACTTCTCCATACGGCTCCTTCTGGGCAAACTCAATACATTCTCATATTCCAATCACTTCGTCCAACATTGATCACGGTTAAGCCGCGTGAAATGCGAACTCCATCAAATCCACGATTGGATCTCCATGCTTCAATTCATGTAGACGATGCAGAAAAGATGGAATTGATTCAAGAGTAGAAGAAACTACGATTTACCTACCGGCGAGAGGTCCGGTGCTCTTCCAACAATGTCGACATTGTAAGAAATCCAAAGAATCCTCGTTTGTCGGGTACAAAGTCTACGCTCCTTTCCGCGTTTTCACTTCTACTTCCAATCTTTTTCTTCTCGTTTCCGCTTCGTGTGATGCCTTCCCAAGCTTGTTATCATTCACATATTTGTGTGGTATACACGAATTGTCGAGAGGTTGGTGTTGTTGTGTATCTGTTGAAGATGAACCACGCGGCGTGTTATAGAATGGAGTGAGGAGATTTATTATGAAGAAGGATGATGGAGAGAGTCTGTATCTCAAATGTGATGATGGTAAATATGAAGGAGGTTCGGTTACAGAGATTTCAGAGGGCATGAAGATGAGGAACTTTCGGAGAAATTCAGAAAGAATTCAAAGGAAGCTGGCAGAGAATTTGAGATTAGTGAGTTTTTTATGGTTTATGTGAATTTCTATTGAATAATTATATGTGAATCATGTATTTTTTGTGTGAAGAAATGGTGATTTGTAGAGAAAGATGAAGGTGTGGGATGAGGAATTGGGAGAGAGGGAGAGAGTTTTATTTTGAGATCTTTTCAGATTGTTTTGTGAAATGTGTAGAATGAAGAAGATGAAGGTAAAAAGAGGATGGAGCTGAGAAAGGGGTTGGTTTTTCTGCGGATTTCTAGAGAGAGAGAAGAATGGTGAGTATTCTGTTTTTTTATATTTCTGTTAATGCCGTTATCTGTAACTGATTCAGTTATAGTTAGTTAGTTGGGAGGTAGTTATAAAATTTTGTTTTGATAGTTAGGATAATTAGAGTTAGTTGATTGAATGGTTAGCTATGGATTCTGTTATAAACTGGATGGTAAGGATTTATTCTGATTTTTGAGTTAATTATAGGTTTTTGATAAAATTATGTTACGGTTAGAAACAAGTAGGAAATTGAATAAATCTGAACCGTTAATATGAATGTTAGTTAGAGATTTTGATGGATGAGATTGGAGGTGATAGTTAGTTAGAACTTGGATAACCGTTTTTCTGTTATGGTTAGTTTATATTCCAGCTAATTTGAAACTGAATCTGTTAGAATCTATTATGAATTGGTTAGAAGGTTAGGGAGTTAGTTAGATAACTCGAAATTCTATTACAAGCTGCTAATTGTTAGTACATTATTATGATCAACTCATTTTCAAATGCTGATAACACCTGCCCAGCTGTAGTTGTAGCTTCTTCCATTTGGTTCACATCTATTAGCATGTCAACGAGTGTTTTGGAGGCCATAAGACACGAGATCTTCTTATTCCACCGGGAACTGCTACTGTTTCAAACATGTCCTCCAACTTCATGAATTGTCCAATTTGAGAAACAACCAAGTGAGCATAGTAGATTGAAGCAACAATCAGATATGGAAGTAGTACTCCCCTGAGGTATCTTCCTTTTTGTAATGAAGCTGGCTTAATTTTGTGCATGAATACAGGGTGGTTCATTTGAAATTTTTTCTGTTATTGCTCTGTTTGAATATATGCAGGGCAGCGAATACTCATGAGCTGATTCCGGATATAATATTCACTTCTGGCGTTTTCTTTCGCTTTATTGGACTTTGGAAAATGGGTGCAAGCTTCTAACCGATGGAATGACAAATATTCTGTCAGCAGTTGGTTTTGTGCAGGTTTGATCAACTTGGTTCTGACTTTGAATTGGCAGTTGAACTACTGATTGATTTATTCAGCCTGATTATTTCTGATTTTCCCATTTTTTGGATATTCTCAATGCAGGTTTGTAATGACATAGGCACAATTTAATTTCCTTTTCCTTGGATCGAAACAGGTGTGAACTGGTTTAACTGCTTTGCTTCATGATTAATTTTGAAACCAATTTGTCTGCATGTAAATTGTTGTTGTGTGAAACTGTTTGGTTAATTGACAGTGTATAGCTTGCAATTTGAAGAAGACTTGAAATTAGAGTCAAGGAAAATTGATAAGATGGCATGAGAGGTTGAATACGGCATGAAGAAATACCAAGGCAAAGCAATTTGTAGTTTGGGCTAAGTGAAAGAGAATTTGAAGATGGATATTTGGCACGAACATGGAAGCATGAACATGTTTGGATATTAGGATTTTAGGCTTAGAACAAAAGTTTGTGTAGTATTTTTTGTATGATGTTTAGACATGATGGTCATGGTTTTGTAGATTGGATTTATGGTTTGTAAATGATAAACATTATAAAACTTGAATAGTGAATGTTGAACTTGGAATTTGAACTTTTGCACTTGAAACTTGCGATTTTGCATTATGGTTACTTGAACGGTGAATGAAATTTGGATTTGTGATCTTGAAATTTGAAATAGCCTTGAATAATTCTTGAGTGCCCTTGTACATGCATGAACTTGATATTTGCTCTAAATTTCAAATAACTTGTTTCTCAAGAAATCCACATGAATCCTTTTCTAACCTTTCATGCTTGATAAATGAACTTTAATCCAATTTTTGAACAAAACTTGAATTCACATGATATTTCTCTTGAAATAATCTAAAGCAAACTCCATGATAAGAATTCAAACTTCTTGAATGAACCCTAAAGCAAATGACTTATATCATAAGCCATGAAGCGAGCCGAATCTTCAATTGATGACCATGAACCAAATGGTCCCTAACACCACCCTCTATCCTTTGTGAGAGAATGGATCCAACACCTTGATCCCCATCAATCTTGTGTATAAAACAATAAGAGAACCAAACCGATTTGATCTTAATGAATTCACAATGCCATCCTTATATCACGCCTTATTATCCCATGACCCTCCATTGTAAATATTGATAAACCCAAGTACGATAGGATATAAACCCTAATCTTTCTTTGAATGGGAGGAATCCCCTTGAAGCCACAAAAATCCTAATTCCACTCCTTTACTAATAGAAGAAAAATCAGGAATATCAAGCTCTATTTTATATGCACTTCTCAAAAGAATGTAAAAACCCTTGATCAAATTGCTTCTGGAAATAACTTGAAAGATGGATTTGCCTTGGTAAAAGAAGAAATTCCCAATGCTCATGATTACAAACCCTAATTCCTTAAGCTAATATTAATGAAGAAACACATTGAAAACCCTTGATTAAAAACGAGATCTTCAGAGCTAAGGAAATCCTAATTCTTCAGTTCAACACTTAAGAGAAACAGGCGAATCAGTCTTATTTGATATGTACCCCTCAAAGTACTATGAAAAATTATGGCATTGCATACCTGCTGAACTTTTGAACCCATGTGCTTTATTCAATGCAAAATGCATGTTATGTTAATGCAGATAACCTAATGAAAAGATATGAATGCAAAAGCCTAAGCCAGATAAAAGTGAAATTATGAGGGCAAATTTTGGGGTGCAACAACTGCCCCTATTTAATCGTCTTAAACCTGAAGGTGAGATTGGCGCCAGCCTTTCTAAATTTCAAGGTGGAAGAAGATTAAATACTAAAAGAACCCGGAAATTTGCACTCCGAAGCCAGTCACGTGTTATTATATTTTTGGTTTTTTCATATATATATATATATATATATATATATATATATATATATATATATATATATATATATATATATATATATATATATATATATATATTTGCTTCTTTTTTTTGGATTACAGTAGTTATCTGGGTTAAATGTATGTTATACCAGGGTTAGACATGCAAGACGCATATCAGATACTCAAGAAAAAGATCCACTACAGTGGACTCTAACGGAAATATCTAACAAGAAAGAGATCTAACAAAGCGAACTCAATTAAAGGTGTCGGGAAAAGATGGGATCTCACAGTGACTTTACCCAAAGATAAAAAAGATGAATGAGACCTAACAGGGAAATCTCAAATAAAACTATCAGAAATGGAAGGGATATAACAAAGCAATCTAGACCAGAGGTATGGAAGAATTAAGAAGGACGAAATCTAACATAGAGATTTTGACCAAAGATATCAAGGAGGAAGAGACCTAACACAACAGACTCGACCAAAGATATCAGAGATGGAAGAGATCTACCAAAGTGATCTCGACATGATATATCAAGGAAGGATGAAATCTAACACATCTATTTCAACCAAAGATATCAAAAGAGAAAGAGACCTAACACAGTAGACTCGACCAAAGATATCGAAGATGGAAGAGATCTAACAAAGCGATATCGACCGGATATAACAAGGAAGGATGAAATCTAACACATCAATTTCAACCAAAGATATTAGAAGAGGAAGAGACCTAACACAATGGACTCAACCAATGATATCGAAGATGGAAGAGATCGAACAAAGTGATCTCAACCGGATATATCAAGGAAGGAAGAAATCTAACACAACAATTTCAACCAAAGATATCAAAGAAGGAAGAGACCTAACACAACTGACTCGACCAAATATATCAAAGATGGAAGAGATCTAACACAGCGATCTCGACCAGATATATCAAGGAAGGAAGAAATCTAACACAACGATTTCGACCAAATATATCAAAAGAGGAAGAGACCTAACACAGCGGGCTCGACTGACGATATCGAAGATAGAAGAGATCTAACAAAGCGATCTCGACCAGATATATCAAGGAAGGATGAAATATAACAGTGATTTCAACCGAAGATATCAAAGCAGGGAGAGACCTAACACAACGAACTCGATCAAAAATGGAAGAGATCTAAGAAAGTGATCTCGACCAAAGATATATCAATGAAGGAAGAAATCTAACACGACCACTTTGACCAAAGATATCAAAAGAGGAAGAGACCTAACAAAGTGGGCTCGACTGATGATATCAAAGATGGAAGAGATCTAACAAAGCAATCTCGACCGGATATATCAAGGAAGGATGAAATCTAACACAATGATTTCAACCGAAGATATCAAAGCAGAGAGATGCCTAACACAGTGAGCTCGATCGACGATATCGAAGATGGAAGAGATATAACAAAGAGATATCGACCGGATATATCAAGGAACACTAACCGCAAATAGTTTCCTGGAGAAAGAACACCGAATGAAGGAGAGCTGGGGGTAAAATATATGTGTCCGACCAAAGTTAAACACATATAAGAAAGAGACTGATCGAAGTAGACTCTTAACAGAGGACGTCGAAGGTAGAATATCTGGGGATACCCTGTGACAGATCCCTTTTAGGGAAACTGGGCGAGAACTTTGACCAAAGTAAATTCACAAAGAGCGCCGAATCAAAGGCGAACTTTACAGGAGAAGGAAACGGGTCGAGGGGTACTCTGACAAGGATACCAACCGAGGAAAGATTTAAGGGAAAAGAACTTACTGGGGATTCACCTATGTCTTAAACCCAAACAGAACACCGGTCAAAGGCGGACTTGTAATTATAAAAGAGAGACCAACTATAGGGACTCTAAACAAGGATTACCAACACATGTTGGACTTTAAGATTTGCAAATACGCAAGAGCTACAAAATCCTTCAGACCAAAGGTGAATTGTACTTCTTCAAGAGTGGCAATTATTTGAATTGCCACACACCAATTATGGATACTCAAATATTTGAGAAATAAGAAAGGCTATACACCGACTCTTACTCGCACTCTGACGACAAAGCAAACACGGGTAAAATAACCAAAGGCTTGGAAGGGAAAGAGAAAACCACGGCTTACTGGGGAAATGGAGAATACTAAAGACCCGACTGGTGGTACAACAAACAAACCCCGCTGGGGAAACATAATAGGATCACCCTAGGCTTGTTATAGAGATAAATCAAATCGGAGCGCATAAAAATCTGGTTACCACAGGTGAACATAATTGGCTTATACTTATGCATGTTTGAAATTTTTTATAGCGTAATGCTCCATACAATGGAAATGCTACGCGTTTTGGTAGATGCAATATAATGATGCATGTTTAGAAATGTACTGGGGAAAGCACGACAATAATCGACTGCTGAGAAGATAATGAACTTCCGAACGATTATTCCTGCACATCTGATCTTCTATAGAGAAAAGGCAATCTGAACTTCAATGGAGAACCGAGATTTGAAACCATTAACATCCAAAGATCAAATATCATTAGGGAAGTAACTTCCTGGAGAAGATACTGCAAAAATAAATTGCAGTTCAGAAAAAATCTTGAATTCTGATCAAACTCTCAACTTCCTAGGGAACAAATTCTTTATCTTCTATTAGAAAGAAGAGAGCTTTGCTGGAGATGGAAACTTTCTCCAGTAGAATTTCTTGACGAAGATAGCTTCTAATGGGGAGTATGAAAATTCTTAAATAAAAATAATTCTACTCAGACCACACTGGGGATAACACCACCTGGGTACAAAATCTTCACTTGAGGAAGAAACAAACATCCTAGGATAGGAACTCCACTGGAGATATGTCAACAAAATCTTCTATCACTGGGGATGAGAGAATTATAACCGACATTCCCATATACACCATACTGGGGAGACAGGACACTTGCTCCACTAGGGAAAGAAGAATTCACTCCAGTGGGGAATAATGTATAAGTTACTCTGGCAGGTCCTCGAAATTCGACATCGTCTGAGGATAAAGACTACCTCTCACACCGGGGGCTAAAAATGTTAGATGATAGCAACAACAATACCCATTGCACTAGGCGTAACCATCTCTTTTATATTCAAGCCAATAAATATTTTTGTACTGGTGAGCAGAAATTACTTCATTGAGGATGATGGTCGTCCTCATGAGGATAACAAACTAGAATCTTCTGCAGGTAAACATGAGTCTCTTCAAGAACTCTGATATAGGCAAGTCGCGCTGGGGAGTGAGAGTGCACATCTTAC